TCTTTTTCTTTTTCTTCTCTCCGGCTATCATCCCAACACAATCGCGTTTTCCTTTGTTACAACTTTGTTCTTTCTTGGTTCTCTCGCCACGGTTACGAGTTGCGGCTTTCTGACCGCTCATTCATAGAACGTGAGACATCCGCCGAGTCGCCCTACCGATACATTGCCCCTCCTTCAACCCGGTCCTACGTCACCTCCGACCCAGAGGTGGTATCCCTCCCCTGGAACGGCCGCGAAATCCGTAACGCGTTGCAAACTGCTGCCGCGTTGGCCGAGGCTGACGCGCTTAATTGAGCGCGCTGCTGCCGCTGCTGCTGAGGGCAAGCAAGCTGCTTCTGGCGAGAACCAGACAAGCCAGCTTGCCGCAGTGGACGGCGAGAAGAGTGAAGAGAAAGAAAAGAAGGAACCCCTAACGGTGGTAATCAAGCCAGAGCACATCCGTGCTGTGGTGAGGATGACCAGGGGGTTCAAGGAGTTCATGCAGGGGATTCGGGAACGGCAGTGGTAACTGTAACGGGTAGGCAAAGTAAGGGCTATTCGAGTTATTCAATCGGGTTCAATTGAAGCACTGGTCGAGTAACTTACCCGACGGCCGTTTTGGGAGGAGGGTTAAGATTGTGAGATTCTGGGAGGTTGTGTTTTAGATGGGTAACCTGGAGAACGCCGGGTGAGATTTATGAATTATGACTTATGACATGACGAATGACATATAAATGAGATGACTTTGCTTGCTGCCTACCTAATTCTTCGTTAAAATACAAGCCTGCTCATATAGTAGTCCTGCATTACTCGTGCGTACTCACACGCAGTTCAGGTAGGTAGTTAAGCACCCATACGAGCACTTGTCGTAAGCTGGCTGCTACATACATGACAAAGAACCTTTCTCTTTTTTTTTCTTTTTTTTCTTTTTTCTTTTTTGGTTCAATATTCAAAACGACAAAATCTTAAATTATGAGAGACCTAAGGACTACTATCCTGATAGGTGATGACCACATGGTTTTAAGAAAAGCCTTGACTGAAGCAACACTGGGATTTACACAGTAAAGTAGATTAGATCATTAGGTTCTTCACAACAGGGGTTGATGCCACGGTTAAGGATCCGGACAATGTAGGCATCTACACGCTTAAGACGGTCAGATGATGCTTTGTTATTACCACGCTGGTAAACGCAGAGGCGCTAATAGGATGCCCGGATCAGTCTGTGGGTTCTTGTGCGGACATAAAGTCCGCCCGCTCAAGAAATAGTTGCGTGGTTTGAGTCCAAGAGAGAGAACGAGGCAAAGAATTCAGGGTATTGTCTCAACTCGTACGTTCCAGAACTCTCTATATGCGGGGACACACTTGAGTGGTTTGCAGTTGCTTTCCTGTGATGCTCATCACTATGATCAGCATTTTTATTACGAAAGTACCACCATAACATACCCTATACCGGCCGGTATCTTCCTGTACCCATCCAATGCATCCGTTCATACCTCCTAAAACGCCTTTCCCCCACCCTCCTCCTCCCCCCCCCTTTTCCACCAAAAAAAAAAAAACGAGCCTCCTCCCTCTCCCAAAACCAAGACAACGCTAACAATCATAATAACTAACAAACCAACAATCGCTACCTCATTCAGTTGTTACCCCCCCCTACCCCCCAAAAAAAAACCAAAAAAAAAAAGAATTCAAACTCCAACTCTTTCCTCTACCCCCCCTCTATTCCCCGAACTGCCCCCCCCTCCCGACCCCACATTACTAGCATGCGCCAACAAAAACTTACAGCACGTCAGCGTCAGCTTGCACGCCTTCGTCCACGCCACATCATCCTGCGCCATCCCGCCCAATCGTATACTCACGTCCCCGATCTTGTCGCCCTCAATCCGGTACGGCAGGCTGCGCGGGGCAGGGTAGTTGGTCGGGTCCCGTGCCGTCGTGGCATACACGTGTGCGCCCAACTGCCGGACTAACTCCAAGAAAGCGACCATGGCCGCGTCGAACTTGCGATGGATGAAGGAGGTTAGGAAGGGGGCGTCGCTTGTTGAGTGGAGGGGGAGGATTTGTTTTTTGGGGGTTTGGCCGGATGTTGGGTTAGTAGTAGTTGAGCTGGGGGAGAGGATGATGCGGCTGGAGGAAGGGGAGGGTGTTTCGTAGCGAATGATGCGGGATGTTGAGCCCATGGGTTGCGGGTCGTAGCCCTCGAAGCGGTAATTTAATTTTTCGGCGACCGTCACCAGTAATAACAAAGCATGCCCCCAGGCGGCGTTGATTTCAGGCCAGTCGACCGGGTGAGAGGATAACCTCCCCAAGCGGAGCCCGTTGATCGTCGCGAACGTCCCGTCGTGGCTGATGCAGAAGGTGTCGTTGTAGACGTTACTACGCTGCAGCTTCTCCAGCTGGCGGGAGTCGTGGTCGAACTTGGAGTTGACGCTGTCGCGCTCGTTCTGGAACTCGGCAAGTTTGGAAGCAAACGCGTTGCGGTCTCGCCAGAAGGTCTCTTCTTGCATGTCCAGCTGGCGGCACTCTTCTTCTAGAGCCAAGAGCTCCGCATCCAGGGCGTCTTTCTCCTTCTCAAGCTTGAGGATCTCCTCACGGGCTGCGGCTTCAGCCTGTTGGGCCTTGCGCAGGGCTTCCTCCCGCGCGCGGAGTTCCTCGTCCGTCGGGCTGTTCGCCTGCAGTTCTTTGAGGAAGGCGATGTAGGCGTCACGCTCGCGGGTTGCGGCCTCGAGCTTTTTTTGGAGCTCTTCCAGCAGCAGGTCGGTGCACTCTACGCAGACGGGATGGTCGATGTCGGAGCGGGCGGAGAGGATTTCCCAAAGCTTGGTGATGCGCTCCATCTCGTGGTGGACTTTTCCTGCGTCTTCGTCGTCCCCGGTACCGTCCGTACCGCCCTGGGACGGTAGAGACGAGGGCCCGGCATTCTGACTTGCGTTTCGCTGCTGTGAGAGCGTCGCCGCGGCAATCTGGGATTCGGTCAGGAAGATGAAGGACATGGTCGAGGTGTCGCGGTCGCCTCGTCCCGCGCCGCTGTGGCGCCTGAAAATGGGCTGCGTTGCATCGCGGCAGGCGCGGTCGTATATCGCTCTTCTGGCGGCGTCCTGGACATGTGTGCGAGAGACAACTGGCTTGGAGGTTGGCTGCTGGTTGTGGGTGGCTGTGATGGTGAGCTTTTCCCGTCTGCTAACAAGGAGGGGCGATAGCTAGAGAAGACTTACCGACCAGCAGGTCGTAGGCAGCTGGATTCAGGTCCTCCAAGGAGCTGTCAAGCTTGAGCGGCGTGCGGCATTTCTGACAGTACATGATGGGCCATGCCAGATCGCGGTGTTGGTAACGATGGAAGAGGGGACCTCGGGGGAGGAGAACTGCAGGCCGTCAAGGTGTCTGTCTGCCAAGATTCGTTCAGGTGTTACGCTGGCGTAAGTTACACGATAAGAGATAACCCCTGGTCATGGCAACTTAACCGTATCGATAACCCCATCCTGTCATGAGGACCCACTTCTGGAGTGACGCTGTAAGGCGTAGTTTGGTTGGTGGTTGGGGGTTGGGGGTTTTGGGAGAGGGGAGAGGGGAGGGGGGGGGGGGTAAAGGGAGAGGAACTCGAAGTCAATTGGACTTCACACTGCTTCATCCCGCTCTTTCAATAGCTCTCAAACCAAGCTAACTCCTGACCAACAATGCTTGATTGTACTTTAGGCGGCAAGTGTACCGAGCCAAGCTGCAGCGGCGTTACAGCTGGCGTTCGACAATGCGTGGCCTACTTGCTAGCCTGCTAAGCCTCTCGCGTTCTACAACTCAGCTCAGGCGACCACAGAGTCAACCGGTCGATTGGTCAATCGGTCAGTCTGAGCGCTCTCACCTGCTGCTATTCGTGCTTTGATTCCATAGCCTCCCTATATGTAGCCCGAGCTAAAGAACTGTTAAAAATTTTTCGCCTGCTTTTCTGTACTGGGCGTGAAGCCGTCCTGCGTTCTCGTTCAATCTCATCCCCCCAAGATGGCGGTCATCAAGCAGCCCCTAAAGCGCTCTAGGCGCACTATTGGCAGCGGTCGATGGACAAGCAATCTGAACGGATTCGTGCTCTCCAGAACGAACTGGCGGAAGCGGGGGAAGATCAATCTCGAGGACCTCCCAGATGACATCCTCCACTACATCTGCTGCCTGCTCTGCTTCCATTGCCAAAGCGATATCGTAGCCGGTGCCGATCCAGAGAGCGTGCGTGCCGGTTACGAGGACCAGCTCGTCCTCGCCAACCTCAGCCGCTGCTCCAAGCGTCTATGTGCCATCGCCCAGCCGGTATTATTCCACTGGTACCAGACGCCTGATCCAGAAGGATATCTCCTGGCGAGAGCGCGGCTGGTGGCCTTTCTCGTCGCTCTCCTGAGGAAACCTCAGCTTCGCCCTTCGGTGCGCGCTCTGACATTCTTGGGAATGCAGTATGATCGACCAAACGATAAGCAGAAATCTCCTCGGTTGATGTCATATACCGTGGAGGATTTTGCGGACAGGCTCATCAATATCGACCATGAGATCAAACCGCAGATATTGGAACTCTTTAGGAAAGAGAACTCCTTGTGGTTGGGTGGTATCGACCGCCTGCAGGATTGGATTATGGACCTTTCGCCCAACTTTTCCCAGCTCTGCATCCAGTATCTGCACAAGAGACTAACGGACAAGACGTCACGCTTGCCATTCAGCGCTCCCAAGACCAGGCTGACCTATCTCGCTTTTCCCGGAGAAAGGGGAAAGCCCCAGGATAACGTGAGAAAGATCATCTACGACCAGATCGAGCCTCTCCTCCACCAAGCGCCCAATCTGCAAACTTTGGTCCTCCCAGACCTCCAGATGGAACGCATGAGGATACCCGAGTACATGAAAAACCCGCCCAAATGGGCCGTTGAACTGCCCCATCTCAAAAAGCTTTCCATCAGCGGGATCCGAACAGAGCTCCTCCGACATATCCTACGATGCTGCCCTGTTCTTGAAGACCTAGAATTCTTTGAACTCCTTGAGCAGCCGTTGGAATTTGTTCTCTCCTTGTGGAACTTGGTCGAGAACTTCCTCAAACCTCTTCGTATGAGACTCCGCCGCCTGTGTTACTCGGCGATAAACTCTCGCAACTTGATGCAGTTCGACCCTTTTCACGACGACGTCACGGACCTGCTCGCTCGTGTAAGGGCCAAATACAGAGTTGACCCTGGAGCCACCACCGGTCCGGATTTCTCTTCTTTCCCCTTCATCGCGGACCTCGAAGTCGAAGAGCTGTGTCTCTACGGTCTCCTCTTCCCCGAGGACAACTTCTTCGAGCTGACTCGTCCGGAGTGTCTGCTCTCCCGGCTGCCGCCGTCCCTAAAGCACCTGCGCATCGGCTGCGCCTTTGACTGGCCGGTTCTCTATCGCGATCTGAAGCAACTTGTCAACGAGAAGTATCCGCGCTTTCCCAGGCTCGAGAAGATCACCATCGAGATCCCCGAGGCCCCGCCTTGGACTGAACACAAAGACCTGGAGGAAACCGCGCGCGCGGTGGACATTGAGCTGGTCATCACCCACATCAATTGGCCGAGTTTGTCCAATGGGAGGGGGATGCTGCCCGCGCGGCCGACCATGGGTGAATCGGCGTGCAATGTAGTTCGGTGGGAGGACACGATGCGGAATAGGAATGACGATTCTTCGTGTTTCATGAACGTAACTGCACAGTCTGCCTCTCCACGAAACTGGCCGAAGGACTTTTCCTCCTCCTCCACCACCACCACCACCACCACTACCTCCTCCTCCTCCCC